GCGCGCGCAGGACGAACCAAGTGCAGAGAAGCCGCCACTGAAACGTGCACCACAAGTGTAAGACACACATGGCACCCGCGATACACCAGGACACACACAAGGCAGCTTCTGAGCAGCTTCTGTCAAACTAAGAGTGCCTCCGAAACGTGCAGGCGGGCAGGATCATTGTCAATCACCTCCTTCGACAGCTACCAGCAACCAATACTGCCGCACGTAGCAGTATCAGAAAACTGTCCGAAACACCTGCTGCAGTTGTGCCAGGACCGTCCATTCCCGAGTGTCATGACATTGCTACGCGACTGATGGGCATCATTGCATAACAAAAGCCGATTGATATTTTCCATCTTGAAACTTGTGATGATTTACATCGGGTGGCTATTGAGGCACTGCCAGGCCATGTGTCATTGTCAGGCTCGCACGGATGGCGTCGAAGAAGGCAGTGTTTCCTCAAGTCACTGTCCGGGTAAGTGGGAAGGCCGAGAACATCCGCCTCCGCCAAAGTCGCAACACCAACGCCCAAGGGCTGTCGCAGACGTTGCCCAGCCAGGGCTCGTGATTCCCAACCGGTTCACCCGATCACAGGCCCTCATAACACACCCTCCAACCACATTTTCAATTGTCGCTGCAACAACAGCCGCAGGAAATGCAACAACCGCATGCTATTGAACGGCTATTTGGCACAAGCAACAACCGGGGCGCTAGCTGATCGGCACCGTTTATTCCACTCCAGCGTCGGGTCGAGCGACATCACTGACCGACACTTACGGAGAGCAAGGCAGGCCAAACCCCCCAACCCCAGACGGCCGATAAGCCAGAATCTCCGGCATCATTGTCGAAGTCGCTCGAGCGAGCAGTCGGCAGTCCCTTTCGGGGACGGACCACCCAACCCCCGAAGTCTCGAACTGGTCTGCCCGACCGTTCAACTCAACACAAAGGGTGGGTTGGATGGGACAACACGGATACTGTATGTCACTGTCAAAAGACCTGATCCGGTGGCTGATCTGATGCAGGAGTGTGACCCTCCTATCCCAACTAAACCAAATGGATCTCTGGTTGCAGAAGTGTGCGGCGGCGGCTGGGGGGCAAGACCTGGTGCGTGCCTTGCGCTCTCTGTTCAGGGCCGCTCAGCGATAGACAATCTGTACCAAGCTCTCAGCGTCGCCCTCCCGCTTGCTGTCGCTCGGTTTTCCCGCTGTTCTTTCCGAAGTTTGGTTACATCGGCGGCAGCTACTGCTGCAAGCATTCGGTGTCGGGTGCGCGGTTTGCCGGGTTGTTGGGCGTTTGCCAGGGTTAGGGTCTTCGGGGGTCGTCCAGTTCCGATCGTTCGTGCTGGATCTTGCTTGGCTTCGGGTCCCGGCTCTTTGTGTCGGGTTTGCGGCCTGCAGTTTTGGCACGTCCACCCTCCGGGTACTGGTTTCTTGAGCAATCGCGGTTTTTCCCAGAGTTCGCCGGCGGGGTATGCTTCTTCAACATGTCTGCACACAAAAGATTACCTCCAATCTTTCATCCGGTGAGTACCCATACCCTTTGTTGGCATGGTCTACTCACCGCCACGCCCCCTGCGAGTTGAATTGCCGTGTCTACATACAACCTCATGACCAGAATTTGATTAAGACACGGCTGAAAGAGGCAGCACACGTTTGCCCACAAGTTCAGAGCCCTTGCAAATGCATGTACAACAGCAGTGCTGGGACAGGAAGTCTCAGGCAGCAGCGCAGACACCAAAAAGCAGCGCAGGGTGCGTCAGGGCCCTCTGTTTGCTGTATACTGGTGACTCGAAGGTGGTTTGGTTGGTCCCCGTAATTCCTTGATGATGAGAGAGGTTCCGTTGCCCTAAGAAGATGCTGGCTATGCTGACTTTGCATATGCAAGAGAACTACAGTCGTCAATCCGAGTTTGATGTCGAGTGTCAGCCTCGCCACTTCACCCTCAAGTATGGCGAGTCAATTCAATGTATCAAGACTGACTGCATCATTGAGCCTCTCAATCATCACGATGTGTTTAAGTTCTTTCAGACGAAAGCTGCCCTTATGTGGAGCTGCTTGTACGACGCATGGGCTGCTGCCGGGCTTCTTTACTTTCCGCCGGGCGGGTGTGTAAGTTTTACGTCCGTCTTGAGGTCGGCCGAGGCTTCTGGAGTTTGGCCTGCTGTTACGACACTGTTTGATGTCACGAAGACACCAGACCCATTAGAGCTTTATCTGTGATCTATCCTGTTTGGTCTTCTCTCAGGTCCAAACAGTTGTCTGGGTGGTCCAATAGAGTGTTTCCCCTGCAACATTTCTGAACGGCATTGAAGGGCCCAGGGTAGAGATGCAGATGCTTCGCAACTTGATTGCTTTTTGATCTTACGAGTGAGTGTGAGGCATCAGGCATCGACGCCGCTAACGCGTACTGTTTCAACCAAACTACGGTTTCAAGTTAGGCAGTTCCAAGCAAGGTTATTTCTATTAGCTCTGCGGCGGTACACAGGTGTAGCATCTCTATTCTGATGGTTAACTTGTTGTACTCTGTGTTGGGCGATGTTGTCTCCCAGAATTCTCTTTTCTTTCGGCAGGGTTATGGGCAAGGGAGTTTCCCCCGTGAGCCTTTTCTGAAGTACGCCCCAGCACCAGTCGGGGGCGCCGACGGCCCAGAATTCTCTGCAGGTCTCTCTGTCTTCGTTTATGGAAGATTGTAAAGTTTGCGGCTATCCAAGGCTTTATCGAAAAATTAATTAATCCGACTACGTCCCAGGTTCTCAACAGGAAGCAGAAGCAGGTCCAACACTTGTTTCTGAAAGTAAACCAACCCTTTTCGTGCAACGAAGCACGTCAAATCTTTAGGATACTTTCACCGCGCTGACACAGGCAGATCGGCTAAGAAGAGACTCAGGACTTTCGGGTTGACAATGCAGTAAAAGTTGCTAAGAAGGTAGCTTCTTTGCCGGCCTCCCCGCGGGACAAAAGTTTCCATGCACATGCGAATGTCACAGCGTGACTTGCATAAGTTGCGGACTGCAGCTACCAACATGTTTGAAGCGAAGAAGCATCATTTGCGTTGTCCATTCATTTTCGTTTGCTCCCACCGCGACTCGCCCCTTCTTCCTTCATTTCTCTAAGTGGACCCTGCAATACCCCGCATGTTCTCCAGAAATTCAGGAAGTTGTCTTCTGCCAGGAGTCGCAACGGACCGTTGTGGATCCTGCCGCTTTTCAGATTGCCGCACAGGTGATGCCGGCTGGGTTTACATTCGCGCAGTAATGACTCTTCAAAGATTTATCTTTCTCCGTCGTCACCCGATAGGCAACACAACTCCTGAGAGGCCCAAAGTCGGGTCTCTGATGTGTTTTCGACTCGTTTTCTATCTGACCACAATTTCTTCAGCACATTTTCTTCAGTGATTGGGATTGGAAATTAAGCACACCGTACGTTGAATTCTCGCCCCGATCTCATGAACATACCCGCAACTTTCTTCAGACTTTGGTTTGAGGGCCGACATTTGCACGGCCAATGCTGCAAGCGAAGATCTCGCGTGAGAGGGAGACTCACAAGCCCCCGTGGTCCGCGAGTCATAGACCAGTCCTGGGAGATGAGGCCCTTCTGTCATGGACTAGCGGCACTCTGGCTGAATCTGAATATTGGTTCCAACTCAAAGAGAACATTATTCTTACTTGATGTGCCACGTAGAGCAACCAGAACCCATGTTTGTCGAGGGCAGCTGTTACTATCAGCAGTGCAAAGCACCACTGTCGGCAGCATCTGCTGTAGTCATTGCTGCCCAAACTACTTCAGCATCTCCTTTGCATGGACAAATTGGACAAGACCGCACATCACAGCGTGCTGACATTGATGCAGCTGTTCTAACCGTGCCCATGACAACAGGCCCAACCATAGTTGGGACGCACTGTGCGACAGTCTTGAGCCGTATTCAAGTACGTCAGGCCTGCTCGTACGACGAAACAGTTGCACGAAAGTTTGTCAATGCTGATCCTTGGTGTCTCTTTTACCAGGGCGAGGCCCATGTAGGCAAGGGAAACTCCAGCTCTCATAGATCGTTTTAGGCCTCATGCAGGTTGTACACCGTCGTCCAAGACACAGTGCCTGGGCCAACCGGTCATTCGCGTCAGAAGCAAGACCCATGAATCTGTTCGGGCGTTTGTCGTGGGTGCAGCGTGATGAGGGGGTGGTCGACAAAACACGCACCGGCACGGGCGCAACACTGAGCGAAGAAGCGATTTCAGCTTACACTGAAAGGGAGCCAGGTTCCTTGCAAGGTTCAGACGTTGACCTCCTGCCTCTAAGTTTTTCAAAAAGTGGGCATCCTCCTCTGAGATGTGACACTCGCTTTAGCTTAGAGACCATGATCTCCGAGACTCTGCTCAGTGTTTCGGGATTCTCCTTCCAAGGCGCTTCCGAGGCAACTACCGAGCCCATGCACACGGGTCAAGTGACAGAGCGTGACAGTCCGACCAGCCATGTGTCCGGCTTGCATCTGCGATGCGCTCAGATCACAACCAACACATGACCCTTGCAGACCGCGCCCACAAACCTTGTGCCGCCACTCAGCAAGCTCTTCCGCAAGATCGTCCGGATGAGCCTGGAAAGGCTACCAAAAGCAGAAGGTGCCTGCAAACTGTATCCAGGTAAACGGTGCCCCTGCATGCTTCGCCTCATCTTCGACGCGAGAAGTGCTGCCCGAAGCCTAAACTTTCGCAGGCTTGCATCTTTTTGCATGTGCACCGCTCCGCGTACCCTTCTCTCTCCCGTCTGTGCTCCACACGGGCTCTTCTGCACTGCCTCAATGCACAGTTCATCGTAGCGTGGGATCTGCACTCGGCTGGTTCATTTTCTTCTCCACAGCAGCAACTGCAGAGCCCGGAAAGGTACACTGGGGCACTTGCATCATGAGCTCCAGGGGAGCACTGTCGGCTTGCATTTGACGTTGCAAGACTTACGGTGACATGTACAGTCAAAGCTGATGAGTTAACGCGAGGCTCACAGCGAGGCTCACAGCGCGTCTCAGCGGTACTTGATGAAGCCAATCTCCTCTGCCTTCTCGCGGAATTCCTGTTTCAAGCATTGGCCTTTGGAATGAACTGAAACGGGAATCCCCTCTGGCCTGACGCTTCATCATGATGCCGTACTTGCGGATGAGTGCCATGCCACCGGGGCGGCCAGAGACCCGTGAGGAGCGCAGGCCCTTCGAGCCAGGAAGGCCTCTTACTGGCGTGGAGAAGGGGTGCTTTTGCGGCTGCGCACCATGACCACCACGGGGCCCACCACCTGTTCCTCCAACACCACCCATCACAGCAACGTGGCCTGCCGTGAAGAAAACCTCAGCAGGGTGTAAGTCAACCCCCTGCATATCTATCATGGGCCCTTGGCACACATACTGCTGAAATCGAAACACGGAACCTGGATGGGTGCGTCACTCTTGTAGCACTCCAAAGTGTCGCCATCCTTCAGCTGGCGGCTGTTGTAGATCAAGCGCATGTGCTCCGGCTCAATGTTGCACTGCTCCATCGCGAGCTTCTTGATGTCACGCACAGCTGCATCACGCGGGCACTCCAGCTGGAAGCTCTTTAGACCAGCCACCTGCAGGATTTAACTGGGTCTGCACGAGTCCACTAGCATACCGTGCGCACCTTGAACTCCACCATGATTGATTCCTCCTTGGGCTCGGGTTCTTTCAGGGTCAGATCGCTCATAGCCTCGACGAGGGTAGCAGCCATAGCCTTGGCTTCAGAAATGCTGCCACTCCAAACGAGCACCCCGCTTCACCCGTTCAAACCTCCCACTCTCTCAGGCCATGACACGAGTCACTTCCAGGAGAGCAAAAAGCGACTTATGGGGAATTGAAGTTTGAGCTCACTGTGAGTCTTGGGCCGCCGATAAAGCATGTTCCACCAGCCCTCTGCAAGCATCGCTACCAGCAACAACGTAAAGACTGTTCTGCAGGATTGCAGTCAACATGACTTCATCTGTCCGAGATCGCCGCCGAGCTGGGTAGGCTCCCTGAGCTCACTGCATGCAACATCCATGCAACTGCCCTTGATACAGACGAAGATTTTGTGTTCAGATCTGTGTCTCTGACGGTTCACTGCTTTCGACGGTCCCGGACTCCATCCGCTCCTTTAATTTCAAGAAGGTGATGCCGTGCTTCTTACGGTTCAGTATTACTTTGTTTATCTTACTAAGATACAGAGAATGATACAGAGTAGCACAACAGCAGCAAGTTAAAGTCACTTTGCTTGTCTTGCACCGCGGTGTGGCTGCAGAATTCTTGGGCATGGCCAATGGCTGCAAGGAACGACGCTGAGTGAAATTCATGTACCCTGATTGCACCGCTGCACCAGACACATAAGCACCGAAACTCCTGTCACTGACCACGAAAGGGGATGGACGACACATGCAATTGCCGCGCAGCTACGCAACTCTGCTTGCATTTTCGGCGTGGCCCGTGAAGCTGCTCACATTGCCTTCCGGTCCGCACACGACCAAGTTTCGATGGACATCGGCAGGTCATGCTTGTTGATTTCAGGCAGGATGCTCTTGATCGACTGCCTGCGACGTGCACGAGCATTGATGCGCTTGCACAGAGTGCTGTCACAGCCTCTCCCACCTCGCAGCTGACGAATAGTGTGGCACTTGGTGTGAGCCCAGCTGCTTCCAAAGTTTCAGTCCTGTCCTTACAAGCACTCTTACAAGCGTTACAACTTTTGCTGCGAGCCGCTCACCCGTAGTTGGAGTGATCGCTTAAGGTGGAAATTCGGCTCCACGGACAGACAACCCTGCCACGCCCCTTCCAGTGCAAGAACGTGCTGCTAAGTCATGCTTGCATGGGAGCAGCAACTCATTGGTCTACTGGGTCCCAATTCAGAAAAGGCATTGCGAGTGCATGGAGCTGCCTTTGTCTTGAAGCTGTGTGACCACGTGAGAGAAACAGATTACAACGCCACTACACAACATCTGCACAAGATGGCTTCCACCTGCTTCTGCACAAAAACCTCCATAAACCAAGAGGCTGTGTATGCCTTCGGCGGAAAGGCAGTCCTGTGGGGTCAACGGATGAGTTCCGGGCCTAGTACCTGCACTATTGAAGCAGGTGTCCTGAGAACACATCCTGGTCGAGCACGAGCCACCCTGTTTTTGGAGCGCCACTCAGAAAGGGCCCGCCTCAAACGTGGTCTGCCAACTCGCGAGAACGCGAGGGTGGAGCCCTTTGCTCGCCGAGTCACCAGAGATCCCCCACCGTGTCACCAAACTCCATCTTCAGAAGCACCTTTTGGCCGCCTTCCAGCTTCACCTACAAGCTCCAAAGCATTTCAAGCTGAGACCGCTCCGCGTCACTGAAGAATCTAGGGGCAACGGAGGTGGCCTGCAAGCGTGCAGCGGGTGCGCTGGCAGGGCGATCTGGCTGCAGCAAGGAGACTTCAGAGCCTAGCGTGGGAGCCGCTGACCGCAGCTTCGCAGCTTCTATAAATCACAAATGTGGCTTAGATGCTGGGTGGCGCAGAAGAGCTTCGATCTGACGGATTTGCTATCCCAAGCCTCGAGGCCAAGGTGCGCAAGCCCTTTCAAATGCTATTGCAAGGACACAGCCTCTGAGCAACCGCCGCACGCACCTGACCTGCAGCACTCAGATTGGCAAACACATGTTGACTCTGCGCCGCAGATGGAACTCTGAGTCCTAGACAGACCTGACCATTTCGCATGACACGTTCAGGAAGCTTTGCCACAAATCGCTCTGATGCAGTGTGGCTGTCCTCGGTATGCTTCGGTGGTGGCATGCAGCATCTTTCGGGTAATGATAGCCCAGCATATGTTTGCTTGATCGTGCGGGCCTCACTTGCCGACATTACATGCGCAATGTAACAAATGAGAGTCGATCGAGATCAATGGCTTTATGTGGAACCCACGTGAGGAAAGGGTCTGTGCGGTGCGCTTGCTGTCCTTGTTTACGGTCCGAACTCCTGCAGGCTGCAAGCGATCACCCCCGTCGCAAAGTTCAGCATCTCCAGCTGCGTCCTTGCGGTACGGCCATATGCCGACTCTAGAATGGTTCTGGCCGTCTTTAGCACGGTTCCCCTGCAATGCCTCCACAACAGAAGGACTTCCAGCGAACATGTACATGAGACGGAAGACAGTCCGCATCTTTGCTGGGTATGCACACTCGTTTCTCTTGGCTTTTGCTGCAACTGGGTGTCCGCTAGCCAGGTCCGGAAGCTGTGCTTGGTGCGGTCGACGGCCTGAAGCGCCACGCCTTCTGGATAATCTTCCCGCAAGACGCGCGGCAAGTAGCCGTCAAGCAGATTTCCTGAGCTTTGGGCTAGTCAAAGCTGAACAATGAAGTGAAGCAGTGGTACAACTTGCGATGCCGTTAACTTTCAATGACCCAGGGGCGAATGATTTCTTGTGCGGAAGTCATTGCAAAAGGCACAAAAGCGTAATTCGCCAACTTGAGACCTGAACCACGAAATCAACGTCCAAGAGGTTGGCTAGAAGCGGTTACTTGCCAGATCAAGTGGTGGTCAAGGCCAACTCGACAAGTTCGTCATTATCAATGATTTTCCAAAATGGGCTGCTGGCGTGGCACCATCACTGAAAAATGTCAACGGAAGACGTTGATTGGTGTCGCGAAGATGCCCACGGCAACCAGAGTTCACTATCTCCTACAGAAAGGGCTGAATCGTGCAACTCTCCGACTTCATGCAGAGGCGGTGCTACCTTCCCAAACGCATCGTCCAAGGTGGCATTGAGCTTCTCTATTCGCGACTGAATGACCTCCGTGGGTGGGAGCTCATAAGGCTGTACTGACATGTTTGCCAATCATGTTTGCAGCAAACTACCCCGATGTCAAGGAGCACCTGGAAGTCAACTGTGATTCCTCCGCGCGGCACTTCCGAAGTATCTGCTGAAGCTGTTGGCTTCCACATGAGACCATACTCCTGAACTGCCAGGAATGTGGGACAACACAGCCGTTTGCCGGTCGATCAGCAGAAGACAGCAACACATAGCCACACAAAACACACACACACAAACACAAGCACAGACACATACACACACACACACAGACTTACACTTGCTGCAACTCGGCGCGAATGACTGCGGTGAGCGACCGACAAGAATCGGCAAGTATACACAATCACAGTAAGCCAATTGTGGAAACAACAGGTTCTTCGGGTTTAGGGTTTAGGGTTTAGGGTTTAGGGTGTGTAGACAGTGTGCGCGCGGTGGGTGCGCCTTTTACTTTAGGAATAGGGGTGCACCCACTAATCGCGCGCTTGCGTCAGCATGTAGTCCCGCCCCAACCACCCCAACTATTCTCAATTAGGGTTTAGGGTTCACCCCCCAACCCCCCTCAAGGGGGGGCTTTCTCGCTCTCTGCCTTCCCTTCGCACTCTGCACAAAATGTGCGTTTCACAGCAAAACGGAGCCGGCCTGTGCCGGCCGCTCGACGAGAAACAAGGGTTCCCAACAAACACTTCGCCTCTCGCACGTGAGGGTTGCTCGAAAGCATAGCAAGGGCAGCAGGCCAGGCAGCTCGCCGGCCCGGCCGGCCCACAAGGCCCCGGGCCCTGGATTCTGCCACCCCGACCCCCCGAAAGGTACCCCAAAACGGGCAACTTTTCGTGAAAATTGGCGGGTCGCCCGCCCAGAAACCTCTGGGTCCCTGGAATCTGCCAGCTGGGGCCCCAGACCTCAACGGTGAGGGATTTGGGGTCCTTCTTTATTGCCTAACGGCAAGAGGTCAATAGCGTGGCTGGGTCACTTCAGTCCTCGTATACCGGGAGGCTTTTACCCTCCCTCACCGTTCTGACGAGACGCTCGGCCGGGGGCCTCGGTCGGAGCCTCGAGCGCCCATGCAAATGGTCAGCGGCGCTCTCGGGGGTTTAGGGTTTAGGGTTTAGGGGCTGGCCTTTTCGCAGGTACACCAAGCTGATCAAGTTTTGCTGCACTCTCTGATGCAGAGCTTCGTTCGGTACGATACCATCAAAGAGCCGTACCCCCCCTGCGGCATCGCTTACGGTCTCACTCGATGGTCGCCATGTACAGGCGTGTACACACGCCCATGCCCTGTGACAGGGCTGCATCGTTCAGTCGGGTTTTTTAACATTATCGGCCAGACAATGTGATGAAGCGCTTTTGAGAACGCTTCGGCTGTCTCTCTTACTGAATGCAGGCTGTTGAATGGCTCTGATGACACAACGTTCTTCGGGCAACGGAGGTTGCATCTAGTATCCAAAACAGTGGCTCGCCGGGAGACGGTGGTTGAGGGTGACTGTCTGCCTCCCGGACCGCTCCGCTGCAATGCTGCCATGCTGCTGGCAATGCCAGGTTGCTTTGGCCTTACTCCGGGCGTGGCCGTTGCTGAAGTTTGGCTGTGCCCGGGAAAGACGGTGCGAGCGAGTCCAGGCATGGACCCCACAATTCCCAAAATAGGAAACAGCGGTGGCGAAGCAAAAGCATTGCTGCGGGCCTTGCCAATGGCCAATACCCTTGTTGCGAAGGAAACTTTGCAAGCGGCAGTGGGGGAGGGGGCGGCCAGGTGGAGGCGGAAGTGTCAACGGGAAAGGATGCACACCTCCCATCAAATTTTGCAGCATGCTTGCGTCATTGTGTCGCGGAGGCGATGTGCGACTGTGATCCATGGTGTGAGTGAGACCGAGGCCCGAGGAACCGCAACCTACACGATATACGGTGTCCTAACTCAAACGGCTGCGGAACATACAAGCAAGGATCAAGCAAGCCACGCGCATGGCTGACGCAATGCGACCACAGTAGCAGGCCGCGGTCCGATCACTTGTGTGTCGCCCTTGGACGGCGCTCTTATCACAAATGCAAGGGCACGACGAAACCCTTTAATTGTGCATGGCCGGAGTGAAACGCCCACCGGTTAACGGTTACCGGTGTCCGACCACTGATGAATCTTGATGTGCTGCTAGACCGTGCGGATTTCACCCAAAACGAGGATTCCTTGAAGGCTTTTGCTAAGACGACGTTCATTATCACATGCTTGCTGGGCGGCGTTCAAGTCAAGGCGTGCGCTTACGTCACGGTATGATAACGGCGTCGACGAGACGGTGCCTTTGGCGCACACCGATGACATGCAGGATAGTCACCGTGTGCAAATCGCTGAGGCATCACGGAGTATGTGACGGAGGCAGTGGGTGGAGTTAGTGTTCTGTTGGAATTGATCTGCACCGACGGTGATTCTTTCTGGGAGTCGCCCCTGTTCTGTCAATAATTTGAGTTGTGTTTTGAGTGGCGGAAGCGTCATTGGCAACATGGATGGCAATAACGGCAGTATTTGTTGCGTCGCAGCGTAGATGTTGGAGACCGAAATTTGTTGGCGGATGGCATCAAGACAAGCAGGTTGCAAGGTGGTCATCATTTTGTTCGTTCCGTTGGATGCGGCGCATTGCTGGGTGCCGACATTGGCGGACATGATGGATATTTCGCAGCCCGCTCGGAGCAAAAAGATTGCTCCAAGGTAACGCTAAAAAAGAGATCGTACAAATATAGGTCAGTTACAGCTGCATCCGACTGCAATCCATCATAAAGCCGCATGGTTTGGAAAGAACGCGAGCACCAGCAAAGAGGTCATAGTGCCTATCACAGTCTAAACACGCATGTAAGTATGTCGACCGACAAAAACCGTGTGCGGGCTGAAAAACTGCGCATCAGTCGTTTTCCAATCAGCCGTTGTGCTTTCATGTCGGAGTCCGGACTTGAATAAGCGATCTGGTCGGCGTACTCATGTTAGGCCGGTGCCCCTTGCCGGACCCGCCTTCTTAGAACTTTTGACATGTCCGGTCTCACCGCATGTTGGGGTTGCTCCTGTTCTCTGCTACTCAGCTACTTTCGATGGTGATGCTTGCATGTTCTCTGCTACTGTTGATGGTGATGTTTGCATGGTCTCTGCTACTCTTGATGGCGATGTTTGCATTGTGCTGCTTGCTGCCGGTAATTCTTGTCCTCATGCGGGGGGTGGAAGTGGGGGGGTTGGGGGGGTGGGGGGGTGGGGGGTGGGGGGGTAATGAAGTTATGTTTTTGCGTGTGCTGGTTCTGCAATCCTTACTCTCGAGCTCCGAGCTCCTTCCGAGAACGCAATCGCCATGGCAGACAATTTTGTTTGGTGCTGGCCGTGGTGGTGGCCTGTCTCGTTTTGCTTGCTCACGCCGGCATTACTATATCCGAGTCGAGTGGTTGGGCCGTGGAAAATCTCGAGGACGTGTGGCGTGTGCCTTGTCCAACTAACAACAATATTCCAAAACACTTAAGCTTTCCTGCCTTAGGCGTCTTACGCATCTTATACTTTGAGTTATTTCGTTGCAGGTCCTCACGACCGATTTTGATGCGGACCCCTTTGCTTTGTTCACTCTTGGCATCCTCCTCTATGAAAGCTCCACATCGTATGCTGGCGTACTGCCTTGGAAGGCTCCGATCCAGAAAGCTGGTACTATTGGACGGATGTCTTTGCACGTCTCTCGCACGGGTCGCCTGCATTCTCAGGAAAGTGCTTGCTGGTACTTGTGGTCTAGAGTTTAAGCCCCAGCAACACACTTGTTGACCACACTTCAACACTTTTGTCAAACCAAGAAAAGACTGCGGTCGCGGCGTGGTCCAAAACGCCAAGTTTAACCCCAAAACCATACTTTCGGGGGACCAGAGCTGGTCCCCGAAAAACGCCTTCTCAGCAACACCACAGTGCAATTCATTCACGTGAGGAATAATCCGATGGCCTGGCCAGCATTCTCCACACTTGCAGCAAGCAACATGCATTCCTATTGCTGTTCCCTGTGGGCCCCCGCTGCTCATGTTACTCATGTACTTTGGCAATCCTCATCATCGGTCCTCGTCGAAATGAATGACGGTGTGTGGTGTGGTAGGGAGGAATGTGTGGTAGGGAGATGCGTTTGTTGTGGGCAGGGGCAGGTGCGATAATAATGTTGATGTCCGCTAGCTGCTTCAGTGGTGAAGATGCTGTGGCGCAGGTTCAGAACCAGGATGGTCACGTCTGCGATTGCATTCGCGGACGACTTGCGATACATGTTGGCACATTGGCGTGCTCGGGTGTCCAGCCTCTGTACGCTCAGAGACGATAGTCTTGCTGTGGTGTAAATATAATATCTTCAAGGGGATATGTGGTGTCATGGAGGTTAAGCATGTGGACTGGGAGGATGGGTCATGTGTGAGAATGTGAATGTCGCGTGGGTCATCGGTGGTGGCACGTACTCTGGGTCGCTGGAATCGTTGCAGGGGACTGTGGACTGGTTCTCATGTCGATCTTGTTCCATCTTGTTCGTCATCAACGGTGCATGGATGGCGGTGGAATCTAAGTAGGAGTTTGGACGAGAGTGATGGCCAGTTGTGTGTGACGACAAGGCGTGGCCAGGCCGCGTCGACGGTTCTAACTTTGGAGCCCAACCAAGGTAAGCAATGAAGCTTGATAGGATAGGAACCAGGTGCAGGCGGCCGTTCGACCGGGGTAACGTTTGCAGGATGTGGTGCAGCTCTTGCATCTGCTGCGGGGACAAGGACAAATTGAACTAAGGACATGGTGAAGTTGATGACCGAGGTTGCATGTGGCTGGTACTGGACGAGGGCTTCGTTCCATTGCGGCTAAGTGGCGAAGACAGTAGAAATCGAGTTTCGAGCACCAAAACCGGCTGTGGAGAAAAAAATGCTTTGAACTGTTCATGCCACCTTGCAGTACAAGTATGGGTATCGTAAGTGCACAAGCTGCCGGTAGACCTAGAAATCTTAACAGTAAACAATTCGACCTTCAGAAACAGTAATTAAGAAAGGATGAGATCAACGATCATGCACCAAAGCTCCAACCTTGTTGTCAAGGGTTCTGTATGAACCAAAAGATTGCCAGGACACACACACACAGAGAAAAACGCACTGTTGCGCGCACAAACACGCGCGC